CGTCTGGTAATCGCTGCTGTTCCCAGCGCTGCCACCGACACTGTCTGTGCCTAGCCATGGCACGGAGGCCAAAAGTATTAAAATTGGCTCCCTTCACCCCAAGCGAAGCGGTCAGGAGCTGCAGGGAGTGAGCTTCTCTGGAAAAGCAGAGTGCACTTAAAAGTAGAAGTATTGATTGAGAGCAGGGCCTTTAATCTCTCCGCTTTCTGCCCATAGAAAGGGAACTGTGCTCCTCTCCTACCTTGCAAGATGATGACTGTGTGCTTTAACCTTCGTCAACTGATGTTTACAAAGTACTTCTAAAGCTGCCAACTGGCAAATACTGTGGAAAAATACCCTGGATTTTCCCTGGTGCCTGATGCTGTGTGTGTGCGTGCTCGCCTGCGTGCGGCTGGCTGTTTATCGGCTGGGATCCCCGTGGCAGGCGTCTCTGCCCCTGCCCCTCCGAGTGCACGGCCTGCATTCATGTCTCTGTTTTCTTTGGCATCCTCCAGCATTTCCCTTGGAACTAATGGCCAATAATATAGTTTCTCCTCAGACATCCCCCTCTGCCAGAGCGCTCCCATGAAGAGGATTATCATTCTCATACTTCTGACATCACGCTGTCCCACTGTCTCTTTCAGGCTCTTCTCCCCTGGGGATAGAGTCACAAAACCTACAAAGCACACAGATTTGCAATTAGATCTGCTCTGTAATTTTTTTTTTTCTGCCCTGAAAAATACAAGAGAAACTGTAGGGTCTGTAGAAATTGTCCAAGTAGCTTTAAGAAAGCTCTGTGCTCCCCTCGGCCCAAAATCTGCAAGCTTTGGAAAGACATATTTAGACGAACCTCTTCCAAAAGTTTTCAGAAGAAAGCAGCTATTTCTTGTAAAAATGAATGTGTAATAAAAAGCAAAGAATTTCCCTTGAAAACTAATTTCAGGGGAAGTTTTTCAGGTAGCTTCAAGTGAGCTGTGGAGCTCAGCGTGCCCTCTGGTGCCAGAGCCAGGTTTCACAGGCCCTGGGACCTGCCAGCTCCCTACAGCAAAACCAGAGATCAAGTGTAAAAAGAAAGAAAGAAAGAAAAAAAATCCTACACTTGTGGTGATATTCATCCTTCTTTCTATAAGAATCCACACAAAAATTAAAAATAACAATAGAAGTCAGAGTTAAATATTGGGGGAGGGGGGTGCTTTGAGTAAGAAGAAAGCCTCTGACTTATAAAATGTAGATGGGTGCCTCGCTCAGCCCCTGCAGTGATCTGTATCGCTGTGCCACGTTTACACAAATTGAAGCAGAAAGAGGACTTGCCCGAGGTCAGAGTGAAGCCAGCAGCGTCTTTGCAGGGAAAGAAAAAAAAAAGAGGCTGTCTCATGTGGAAAGCCAAAACATCCGGAAATGGGAGACGGGAGCTGAGCTCCAGCACCAGTTCAGCCAGCGCTGTTGTGTGACCGGGCTGTACTTTTTCAAGTCCTAATCTCCCTACCCTTAAAAAGCAGGCAATAATGATACATCCCCATCTTGGGAAAGTGCTGCATACTGGTAGATGCTGTTTTCCAGCAGACATGCTGGCTCTGCAACAATGCTTGCAAGATGAACTTGGTGTCTGCCTGCCAGATCCAGGTTTCCCCTCTTTGATGCAATATGGAGAAGAAAAGGCGGCGATCCCCACTTTCAGGAGGGGAACACTTTCAAAATGACCAGAAAGACACCAGCTCTAGCCTCATGACATAAATCAGTTTGATGAGCCTTCAGGTATGTTCTGTGACTTGACTTAGGGCTCTGTTTGCCAAAAGGGAATCATTTAATCTCCCCCGTGCTCCCACGTAACCCCCCCACAGCTGTCTGGGCAATCCTGCTGCAGGGAAACCAGAGTTGCTTGTGAATCAGCTCCTGAGCCGCAGCAGTTTACAGGACTGAACTTCAAGATAGAGCAAAAGCAGAAATGGCCCCATTTTGAAAAGCTGTGCACGCATTGTGGCAGCTCAAAAAAAAAAAAAAAAGAGTCACAGACAGGCGTTCATAGCCCATAGATGCAGTGGTTAGCTGGTGACAGCTATGGCACCAGGCACCTCAATCAAAGCCATCCTCCTGCATTAATGGAAATGCCAGGTCTCTGAGGACTCCTGGTTTGTTTAAGCCTCTTTTTATTTGAGACTCAGGCTTGCATTTGTAGCTGCTGGACTAGGCAGAATACTCTGTAAGGGCCAAATCCACAGAGGAGCTGGATTTCTCTGACTTTAGATGCTGTCATAAGGACTCCTGCAAACTGTTTGATCATTTAGCTACCTAAGCGAAAGCTTGGTGTCCAGTTTACATCATCGAGTAACCTTTTGGCCACCTTTGTGGATTACTAAGCCTGGGCTGACAGAACTTTGAAACAGGAATCACAGTTTTTCATTGCTCAGTGCAAGGGTTTCCCAGATCCAGTGACTCCGCATCAGAGAGCGGCGGCTGTCCCTGCCTGGGGTATCACGTCCCAGACAGGGGAACAGGCCATCACTCTCATCCACATGAGAAAAGCCCATGTGAAAGCTGTCCGTTTTCATTGCCTGATCATCTGGGACACAGAGCTCAGTGCATTGCAACTCTGCCCCATTTCACGCTCCAGGTAAAGGAGTGTGGGGGCAGCTCAAAAGGAGGAAGCGTTTTCATTCCACAAGAGCTCCTGACTTGCTTTATTTGTCTCCACATAAGCGACTGGGGACAGATGTCTCAGCCTCCTTGTACCAGTCACTCGTTTAACAAAAGCTCTGTCTTGTTTGTACAGCGTCCTTGTTCTCGCACCCTTAACTCATCATTACGCAGCGATGAACTATCAATGCCCAGCCTTGTCACGCTGCAGGGAGGGGGGCTGACTCTTCAGGAATAAGGAAGAAAACACATGAAAGGGGTAAAATCCTCAAACCTTGCACCACTTGGTATGGTTACCACTCTGTTGCAACAGGATCACATACTTCTAAGGCAGCTGAGAAGGGGCAGTACCTAAATCTAGGTTTCTAATACACGTTCCCAGCATCAGACCTTTTCCCCGAGATGCGAGATACCTCTATTCTGCCCCAGACACCAGACAGTAATGTTGAAAAAGTCCTGAACCCCTACGCACCGCCTTAGAGTCCTTACCGGCTCTCTAGACTTCTACTTTTATCTTCTTCCAGTATCTTTTAACTTCTACCTTCCACAGCAAGAAATACAGGCTTTACAAAGGAGCCTCTTAACCACAGTAACTCTACTGTTAGAAACCACAAGAATTACATACTTTAAGCTAACAAAAAAAAAACAAAACAAAAACCCAAACCCCCCCCAAAACCCAAAAGCACTTTCCCACCCCAAGCTGGCCCCTTCTTAGGGGTCACAGTTCACCAATAGTTCAAACTGGACACAGTCCTTCCTGCCTGCTTTTTGCTATGCATCTTTCTCATACGAGGCTGATGGCTGGCACAGGCCACAACCCCCTTCTGAAATTCAGCCCTAATATCAGTATCAGGCACACAACCACATGCAGCGCTCTCCCAGAATCACTGGCTTTTCTCCCACTCCCAACCTGGCACAGAGAAAGCCACCCTTGCCCAGGGATGCACAAAAAGACCAGAGACAGCAGCATGAAGCACTAGCCATAACCTTTCTCTAACATCATGCCCAGAGCACGGAGAAAAGAAAACATTTTGTCCTTTATCTGGTACAAAAGGACCAAAATAGCACTTACCATCTGATGCAGACACAGTCCTACTTCCAGTATGCACCTGGAGAAATCTCTCCCACCACTCTGAGCAAAAGAGGTGACCTCCAGCCCATACCTGGCCCTTACCTTCAGATTTAAAGTGCTGAGGGGAAGGCTGCTCTTCACTACAGCTGACAGGAGGCTGATTGCCCAGAACTGAAGCCTGTCTGCTATGTGAAAGTGTTGTTTTTCTTTCTTCTTAAGAAAGGATGTCATAGCTTGCTACAGATATGTCCAAATCTTTCCTAATTTTTGCCTTTGCTGGTGGTTTATTACCAGGTGATGACACTCTGGGTGAACTGAAAACTCTCTTTTCTATCTTTTTTTTTTTTTTTACCTCCATCATTTGGGTCAAGACAGTGAACAGGGGAACTCACTTAACAAGAAAGGTAAAGAACAGGTAGATGGCTAAAAGCAGCCAAATGACCCACAGCTTGTAATTAGGTTAAGGGCAACCAGGTGATTTATGCCTTGTAAATACCTGTTTCTTTCCACCGACAAAAAATGTGCCTGAATGATTAGTTAAAGTTAGGTGCAATGGATCCTACCCCTTCTCTTGGTGCGTTTCAGTGCCTGACGTTTTGAAGAAATAGCCCCCTTGGTTTCAGAAACAAAAATGTGGATTTTCCCATCTGCTAAAGTAGCTTTTCGAAGACAGTAGTCAGCAAAAAGTGTTCAGAGGAGGTATAAAGCCCAGCCACTGATGGTCTTTTGAACACCCGACCCAAAGAGAAGATCTCTCTCTAATCCCCTGTAAGTTTGAGGTTTGTTTGTGCCCTGAAGGAAGAGAATTTAATATTCCTTGCAAAATCCCTGGCTCTGGGTAATCTATGTCATTGTTACTCTGGACAAGCTTGTTTTCCACAAAAATACCCAGTATTTTTCTAACCTGGCTGAGCTCTTGATCACTGCAAGTATCTTGTGGCTATTAATACCACAAGGCGACTGTGAGGGGAAACTGGGCACTCTCAACATGTTTAAAACACGCAACTTTGACTCTTTC